TAAGAACAGGAACAGATATGCTGCGTTGGCTCATACCGAGGAAGTATCCTCAATAACTCCTTGGATACTACAGAGAGAAAACAAACGGTGGTAACTGTGATTTAGCCTTAAATCAACAAAGTAACCAGCAGCCACACAGTGATATATCTTTCAGAAAGCCTGCTGAACTCCATCTCTCTCAGTCTTCTGGGAATTGCCCTAACCAGGAAAAAGCAGGACAATACCTATGTGGGAGTGGTAATAAAAGCATTTGTGACTGAACTGTTTTTATATTATTTCACTTCATAGAAGTGGTAATACCACAATGTCTTTGGCTTTCTCAACATAAAGTCATATTTCAAGGAGCAGTTCTGTGGGGAAGAGATGGGCTCCTCCTCTCAAAGAAGGTCACAGAATATGGAATAGACTTTCTAAAACATCAGCTTGGAAGAGACAATAATTCTGTTAAGAGAACATTCAAAATGTGTTGGGATTTTTTAGTTGGTTGTTCATGTCTTTAACCAACTGGATAAATACCTTAACATTGTTGTCAACTGTGCAGAAATTAGCTAAAAACAAGGAGGGATGTTTAAGATAAAACAATCATTATAAAAAAGGCTTGAATCACAGCCATGGAACAGTAAGTCAGAAGACCTTAGAGGAAAACTATTTAATCCAAAGTACTGACTATTTGTATTTCATTCCAAAACTTTGATATTGTTTTCAATTTTTATAAACAAAACAATTTAAAAATATTTTTATCTAGGCAGTTACTGAAGCCATTACTTGCTGGGATATGAACTGTCCCTATTTGATTTCATTTTACTATGTGGAACATACTAAGCAAAATGGGTTTCCAGGTTCATCATTCTCATTGATTGCCAAGTTGACCACAGCTTGCTTAAAACACCACATTATTATTTTTAATTGAAAGAAAACTAATAAGAAAAATATTAATCTGAAATATGTATTTTAATCTAAGATATTAAATTATTTTTTCCAATTTGCTTACACATTTACAGTTATAAGAGGATGGATTAGATCTTCCCTTAATAGTTTCTGCTGCTGGGAGTCAAATTGTATGTACTTGATTTGTTTTCAGAGTTACATTTGCATTTTTAAATCTGTCCCTAAAGGAGTCATTAAAATAGAATTTAAGGGTCAAACACACTTCTAAAACTTAGAGAGGTAGAAGAATATGGTGTCCTACTGTAGCAGTGGCTGCACTGCAGAGCATACAGCAAGTCACCTTCCTTGTCATAGTATCAGTGGATGAATATTAGCCACAGGTTGCAGGCTAATGATAAACTTTCTATTTTATTGCCCTCTCATACATCAAATCAGAAGTACTTCAGAGCAGCTTTATCCCCAAAAAATGGACATAGGAATTGAGAAAGCAAGCACTATTTGATGCAGCTCCTCCTGTTTTTCACCAGGCAACTTCATGCTGCTTTGCAGGAAAATGGGCACAAAAACCAAGGACAGAGGAGCGTGAGCAGAACTAGGCTGCAGCTGGACAATGAACCCCTGCCAGCGTGGCATCCCTTTGGATAACCACCTCATGACTGTGAGCACCACTGCAGCCTCTCTAGACACTTATTTCAGAAGCTCTTGCTCTCTCTTTTCAGGTGAGCAGCAGAGAGATGAAATGATCATTGCCATTTCCATAACCACATCTAGGAGAGAAGGCATGGCACAGTAGAGTGGGAAGCTGTGAGATCCAGATCTGGCTTCTAGAGAAAAAGAGAGAGAACAACCACAACAATCTTACAAAGATGCAAAAGACATGATGAATATTCTTAAGTATATGGGACTTAAAGCCTAAAAATACTTTATTCTTGCATTGGCCTAACCTGAGAGAAGGACAAGGCTGTCCTCTGGTTCCCACTCAGCTGTGGCAGTGCCCTTGTTTCCAGACATGCATTACACTGGCCTCTCAGAAGGCTTCAGCTGGGGATTCCCATGGCACTGCTGTCACACTCAGAGCACTGCCCATATCTCAGTATCAGCTGTGACTGCAGTGAAGCTGGTGATGCTGAGTCAGTGACAGCTCTTTCAGAACTCTTCCTAACCCAAGACATGGCTCAGCACAATCTATACCTCAGTTGTGTTAAGCAAACATTTCAGCTGGGGAAAGCACTGCTCCATGGTTCCATTCCAGGACCCACACTGACCCAGCACTTCAGGCCATCCTTCTGACCAGAGGAGGAAAGCATGACTTTGAATGCAAATGCAGACATAAAGGAAAAGCCTGAACTTGGCATTGCTCCATTTCCACTTGACCAACAAGCTACAGACCAATTCATCTTTACTCTTACACTTTGAACAATTTTATTTGGTTTCTGGGATAAAATGCAAGCAGTTTCAGGGTGCTTCTAGCTCAATTCATTTTTCTTGTCTTTCTCAATGGCAGAAGACAGCAGCTGAGGTATGCACAAAGATGCATTTGTCTGAAGGAGCAGAAGCAAAAATACTCCTGGCCTGCTATTGCTGTAGTGGATCAGGGGAGCATCAGTACCACTGCACAATCACATGTGCCTCCTTTGTATTTTGATTTCTCCTTCCAATGACTAACATCAAAAAAAGATTGCAAAGCTCTACAAGTAGAAGTACAGTGCTTCAACCCAAGAGCAGATGCTCTGCACTCACTGCAGATGGATCTCTTCAAAAAGGCACACTCAGGATGTCTCATCTGGCTTCTCACATACATGACCACCTCATCAGATGCCTGTTTCTTCCAAGCCTGTCTGTATAAACACCAGGATCATGCAAAATCATTACCTCCAGTTTAAAAGGAGCATCAAGACATTTTGTAACATCAAATAAATAGATTGGTCTTTTCAGCCTACTTCAAAATCCCTGTTACACAGATCCTCTGAGTGTAGAAAACTATTTGACATTTGACTAACTCCTTCATACACTAAAGACTGGATACTATGAAAGGAGTGTGTTTACAATAGCTTTGCTCTTGCAAATGTCACTCAAGAATCATCAGTAGTACAGCAACAAAACACCTGGTGCCTGCCACAGCATTCTTTTAGCAAGTGGGAAGCAGAGTAACAGGAAATTATTTGATTATATTCTCAGTAACTAGTTTGGCAACAACTTGCACTAGCCTTCCAAAAGAAATTCTCAAATAGAGAGGCACAGCATTTTAGCTATATCGTTCCTATAGCTGGGATGAGAGACTTTCTAGTTTAGAAATCTTCAAGAATAACTGCAGAAATTGAAAATCACACCCTTGCATCTGACAGGTTAACACATGTGTTTGGTTTGTGTGGAAAGGTTTTCATAGCAGGGAGGAGGCTACAGGGGTGGCTTCCAAGAAAAGCTGCAAGAAGCTGTCCAAGAAAGCCAAGAGCAGCCAGCTCTGGGATGGACCCACTGCTGGCCCAGCTCAAACCCATCAGTGGCAGTGGCAGCACCTCGGGGATAAATTATTCATGGAGTGAGGGGCAGAAACAGATTGACAGCTCCAGCCAGAGAGGAGTGAGAATACGTGAGAGAAACAGCACTGCAGACACCAAGGTCAGGGAAGGAAGAGGAGGAGGTGCTGCAGCTGCTGGAGCAGAGATTGCAGCTCACAGGGAAGGCCACGCTGAGGCAGGCTGAGCCCTTTCCCCATGGCAGGACAGGGGAAGGTGAGCCCACAGGGGACCCATACTGGAAGTCTGTTCCTGAAGTCTTCATGCTATGAAGAGATCCACGGTGGGACAATTCATGAAGAACTGCAGCCTGTGGAAAGGACTCACATTGGAAAAGTTTGTGAAGAGCTGACTCCAGTGGGAGGGGCACCATGCTGGAGCAGGGAAAGGGTGTGAGGAGTGCTTCCCTGAGGAAGAAGAGGCAGACAACATGTGATGAATTGACCACAGCCCCCATGTTGTGTCCCGCTTTGCTGCTGGGATGCAGAAAAAAAGAGAAAATTGTGAGCAAAATTGAGCCTGGGAAGAAGGGAGAAGTGATAGAAAGGTATTTTAAGATTTAGTTTTTACTTCTCATTACTCTATTCTTATTTGATACAGTAGGGTAGGATAAAGTAAAGTAGAGTATTGATAGGTAATAAATTCAATTAATTTATCCAGCTGAGTGTGATTTTCCCATGATAACTGCTGAGTGATCTCTCCCTGCCTTTATTTCAACCCACAGACCTTTCATTGTATTTTCTGCCCCTGTCCAGCTGAGGAGGGGAGTGACCAAGTAGCCTTGATGGACACCTGGCATCTAGCCAGGGTCAACCCACCACAGTGAGGAAAACTTAGTGGTTATTCAGCATGTTTTTGTTTTCCAGAGTCTAGGGATGACAGAAACTTAGGAAAAATAAAAGCCTCGCAAGTTTTAAACTCTGTATAATGTGTAACTTGATCATCCTGTCTGTGCCTCAGCTTTGGGCTGTAGTGGGGGCTGCTGCTCCAGAACTGAAGCACACATCTCCTGACCACAGCACTTCAGTAGCACACTGCTCCTGCTCTGCTCAGCACCTTTCAGACAGGTGAGTGCTGTAAGAGAAAACCTGCTGAGGACAAAGTAACAGACTGGAGATCTGTCACTCACAGAAGGCATTGCAAAGAGGCTTAGCAGTGGCACAGAGGAGCTTGTCACCAGTTGCTGCTCCCTAACTTCCAGTTTGCAAGCAGAATGAGCACCCTCAATGCCAGCTGCTACAGACCAGCTCAGCCTGAGTGCTCCATCCTCAGAGACAGCACAGAAATCAGCGCCTACGAATCAATAGATTCTTAGAGCAGCTCCATATGTCATGTCAAATCTCTAATTCTTTTCATCTTTCATAGTATCACCACTACTGAAGTTTCCACACCCATCATGATCACACTAATACTCAGCTCCTTTTAACAAACTGGCTTTGGAGTCACTGCGTGGCTTTTGAGCACTTTTAAACCTGCAAAGTGAGAACAGCAAAGCATACTATAAATTCTTCCTCATCTCTGAGAAGGAGCAGTTCTAGACAATATCCCCTTCAACTCCTGGCTCAAAATCATTGAAACATTAAATCAATTGCTTACCTTTTGATCCAGACTGTAGGCCAAGATCCACTCCTCCTGCTTGGGGTGGAAGAGCAAGCTCTGGATATAGAAATTCAAACGGTACTTCTGATAGGTAGCTCCTTCATCAGAGCTGATGAGGATACTGCTCTCAATCTCTGGATCACTAAGAAGCATGATCTAAATAGAAAAATGGAGGGAAAGTGTTAATGGAAAAGTGAAAGTGAACATCATTAAGAGTGAGGTCATACAGCACGGACTCCTATCAGATGTATTCAGAACATCACTCAAGAGTATAGCATCCCATAGAATTAGAATGGGGTTTTAGTATTTCAGTTTACTTTTCTTTGGCAACTCATTTGCTGATTTGAGCTATTCAATTTTTTTTTTTTTTTCATTTTATCTGGATAAATTCAGAAAACCCAGCAAGAAAGAAAAATTCCATGTATCAAAGTTGAATTTGGCTGGGTATAGGAACTTCAGGCAGCCATACCAGGCTTTCCTGGAGTATTTTCTGTCTACTACCTCTCTCACCCCATGTGAAATCCTCTCTCCAAAAGTAAACAGAGTATTCCTGAGATTTAAGGTTCATTGCTTGGCAGCTTGCAGTGCTATGAATGAGAGCATCACCTCCCTGGAAACACAGAATGCCTTCCTGGACCAGCTGCTGGCGTCTGGGTATAGTTCACATGCACATGTGCAAACACTGACACGATTTCATATGTCACACTCCCAATTTGTACAGTAAGAGACATTCATTCAGTCAGTGAAAACATAATTTTCTCCAAGCACAGGAAAGTGCATGACCTCAATTTTTACAGGGAGGAAAACACTTCCGAGCCTCTAATTTTAATTAGAAAATTATTACCAATATTTTAAAACGGGTTGATTCCACACTATCAGATGGCAAGCTTTACATAAACGCTATCAAGAAAAATGTTGTGGAAACATTAACACCATCTTATTAACATCTGGAGAAAACTACTTCACATTAAAGCAAATACCAGTACCATAAAATAAAGGCAAACAGTGGGAAATAAATTAGAGCTGTTCTAAACACAGCAGGTTGTTGATACAGCAGCTGAATCAAATATAGAAACTGTCTTTTAGCAGGAAAACACATCTAGGAATGGCCTTTTTTAGCCCACTGCAGAATGAATGATCAGCTAGCTGAGATCCACTGAATTTTGGGTTTTGTCCACACTGACTTCTCTTATCCAGCTTCATAGATCTCCAACTTCAAGACTACAATAGGGAAATACATATAATTTTGACAGCAAATATCAGTTACAAGGAATGGTATGTTAGGCCTTCATCAAGCAAAAAATTTCAGTGCTTGTTTTATCTTAAGTACCTCATTAACTCCATGAAGTCACCAAGGGAAAGGGAGTATAATGTAAATGGCTTCTGATCCTTTCCATTAAGAAATGAAAAACTGAAGTAGAAGTGAACATTTTCCCAGAGTGAAGCCATCTGTATGAATCCAGCTTGATGTCAAAGTGCCTTCAACATCCCCCACATACACCCAGCCCCAAAATCAATCTCTAGCCATTCCCATGGGAAGCCAAGTCCTGAAGCAGTGCACTTGCACTGTGCTCTGGTGCATGGGCTGGGGAATGAGAAACATTCCCACATGAAAGTGATATCCTGGGAATTAGCTTGAGAAGAGACCTCCAAGTTCTCCACTCTAAAGGATGCTTTGGTACATTTCTTCTTTCTAATCTGATCAAAATATCAATTTCATTATGCCCCAAACAATAATGATTTCACAAGTATTTGAAGATCTTCTCTGTCACTTTTGACTTAGATCGCAAAGACATTTTATACCCTTGTTCACCTAAAGCATATTGCCTGTGCCAGAGAACTATAACATAGTTCAGTAAAAATCACTTGCTTATATGGAATGGAAAAAGGATGTAAGCCTGGCCATTTAAGAAGACAATCCAGAGAGATCTTATATTTAAAATAAAGGATACTTCAGGAATAAAAATATTTTCCACTCATGTAATAGAGGACTACAAAGTTAATAATGCTGTATATTACAAGGTTACTGCTGAAGTTCTGTCCTCAAATAAGGAGTGCAAGACAGCTAACAGTGGCATGGACCTGAAGTGGCACACATACAAAACATCCCCTCTGCCCTTTCACACATGATCTTCAGCACTTCAGTGGATAATTCAAGAAATGGCCATATGAGACAAAAGTAGTATTTCCATCAGATGATTGAAAAATCTGCCAAATTGTCATTCTGGAGGTATAACAGAAGAAGAACAAGATCAGATAATAAAACCCCTAAGTTAGGAAATGTGGAAGAACCTAACAACAGTCGTATCTAGAGATGACATCACATAAATCATGCCCCATTCACCCAATTTGCACATGCAGTCTTCATTTTTCAAATGGGGAAATGAACACCAAACATCTCTGCTGTCATCCATCCTCCCAGGAAAGGCTGGTCCTACAGAGAGCAGGATGGAAAAAACAGGAGGCTCAATCAGAGTGAAAAATAAAATTCCACCACCAGCCACACAGCTCGGACTGGCACACACGTTTGTTACATGGCACACAGGAAAAGCAAAGTGACAGCCTCTGGGCTTTTTTTATTGTTTTCTACTTTTTCTCCTGGAAGCTATAGGGGGAGGGAACTTTTGGCCTGAAACTACCACTTCTCATTATGGGACCAGGATGAAGCATCTACCCCACTAGTGATTTAGATTAATCACTTTTCATTAAGAGACAATAAACAAACTCCAGTCAGAATGAGGATTTCTGCCAGCATCCTGTGTTGCCATTTATAATTGCCATAAGGAATAGCAAAGGAGCACCAGAGAGTTGTCAAATGTAATTTATAAGGGCTTAAGATCTAATCGTTTTCTAAAATATTAAATTAAATGGCAGCCTTTGTTTAAAAGGAAATTGCATTTGGTCTTTCTAAATTCTAGATTATTTATATACATGCATGCATAAAATGTTGCTTTTTTTTCTCTGGTTTAAGTGAAAAGGGGAAGGGCAGGACTGGTTATTGCCAAGGATAAATCCTTGAAAACATCCTTGAGATAAGTTAGTTTATGCTACATACCTTTTCTGACCTTCCAAATCCACTGACAATGAATGACAATCCCCAGACTAACCAAAATAGGCTGAAAATCAGACTAAACTTCAGATAGTTCCTTAGGAATGGACGCAGAGGAAGAGAGCTGGCTGGGACATGGTACATGTCCTTTAAAGCAGGAGCTTTGGGGACAGTGAGGACACAGAAAGCTGTTCTGAATGAACTCCAGGTGGGCAGCACACCAGACACCAATGAGGCAGCACATGAAAAGATGATGGTATGGAGAGGTTACCTTACAAGAACATTTACTACAATATATGGACTGAGATCTTCAGTACATTAGCAGGAAACATATCCAGCTCTGAACACTTCAAGGGGATTTACCCCAGGGAATAAATAGCACAAGCTGCAGCAGGAAGAACAAGGAGGGGAGATGTCATACGTGTGCCTGCCATAATGTATTTGGTACACAAACCCCAGCAGTTGTTGAGAGTTACTCAGATTTCTTGGAGAGCGTGTAAGACCCTTAAAGGAGCTCAAATGCAGAAGTAAGTAGGAAGTAAAGTGGCACCATATTGCAGCACAAATCCACTAAAAATTCATGCCCTCTGATGGGGCCAATATAATAAAAACTAGGGTAGGATTTGTAAATGAGAACCTGAGTTTCTGCTAGATCAAAATTCCAGTCACTGGGCTAGTGCACACACCTTCCATGGTATTACTTTCACATGGCTTATGTGCAGGTAGATGAGTTAAAATAGTGCCACGTTCCTCTTTTTCTGTGCCAGGGTAGCCAGGCACAAAGAGAGCTGTGATGTGGAACACTGAACTGTACAGTAATGAGGCTGCACACCTCTCACAGGCACAATGCTACAACATGCCCAGACAGGCATGGAAATTCAGGTAGCCTGAGCACAGAGACCACAATGGAATGTGATTTGTACGCAGCTGAATTAGTTAATAAACAACCACTGGACCAAAAAAAAAACCAAAACAACATGCCACATAAATAGCATTTTTATTAATATTAGCTTTCAATGAAGCCTTTTATTTTTCTCAACTAACATAAATTTTCACTGTAAATTACCAAAGCGCATCTCCCTAAATCAGCACAGACCAGTTTTATAGGTGCAATAATCTGTAGCAATAGTACCACTGAGCTACATTAGCAAAGGAGCACCAGAGAGCTGTCAAATGAATAAAGAAGACAGGTTCAGATAAATGCCTTTAGTTCTGAGAAATAGATAGGCAGCATTAAACCATTGTGTATTGCCTCCTGATTCTCCACTTTAGTGCACTTTTCATAAGCTGTTCTTTTCAGAGGTCCTAGTCACATTCACCCATGTAAAAGGCTATTCTAAAAAAAAAAAACTTAAAGCAGTTTAAAAATAAACAAAAACAACAGAACACCTACAAACCATGCAAGCCTCCACAGCTTCAAAAGAAACCAGTTCCTTAGCAAAGTATTAGACTTTACTCTGTAGCACCACGTTATCCTCTCCTACAACTGAAAAGGCAGTTTTCCCACAAAAATTGCTGCAAAGGCAGAAAGTTGAGGTTTCATGTTTACAGGTCCATGGGGATTTCCATATTGAATGTACTTGGCTTAAAAGTGAAAAGGCTTTTTTGGGTTTTTTCAGCCTCCTTCCACTAGGCTCTCAACTCAGAAACACTTTAGATCCTTCTTAAAGCCTGGCCACATCTACATCATCAATGACACAACAAATCAGATTTTATAAAAGAAAAATCTTTTTCTTTTCCAATTGGATTGAAAACATTTGATGGGTTGTACTGTCTCGTGTTTCCTTCCCACAAAGCTTCACAGTAACTTTGAGTTTAAAAAGCCAAAAAGTTTCAACAATTTATACTGAAATGTCAATGCAAGTGGAGGATTTTTGCTTTGTTTGGACTTTTGATGTCCTTTCCTCCTTTCAAAACTGAGAAATCAAAATCCAGTGACATTTAAAGGCTTAAAGATACAGAAGTTGTTTTCTTCCTTCAAAACATCAGTCCATCACAAGGTAAATATGAACAGTTTGGAACTCTCTTATGCAAAAAGTAATTTTACACACCAAAGCAATTTGGATTACATGTCTGACCATCTGAAATTTCTCACTGGCAAATACTT